GAAAGAAGAGAGAGACAAGAGACAGAGAAAAGAGACAGAAACAGAGAGAAAGAAAAAGGAGACAGAGACAGACAGAGAAAGAGAAAAGAGCATGTGCGCATTTTTGTTAATTAGACCTTTGGGGTGCTTGGAGCTCTGTTTGTTCTGGATATGGGGGTGCAGATGAAGCTCAAAGGAGATGAAAGGCTTTCTCGGCACTGAGCATCTGAAGGGAATCCACAGGTCCCCGGCCCAGCATCCTCACTTTTCAGAAACCGAGGCTTAGCGAGGGGAAGGACTCACCCGAGGTTCCAGGGGTGATAGTGGCAGAGTCGGGTCGGAAGCCGGATCCCCTGACTCCAAGTCTCGGGTTCTCTGTGTTCCATTTCCTATGTAAGCCACCCCTGGGTGCGGGGACATAAGCTCCCGGAGGCCGGGAACTGTTTCACTGCTGTCTTTATATTCTCCGGGCTTAGCACAGCGCCTGGCACACAGTAGGTGCTTAATACATGCCTGAAGCATTGAACTGGTTTTCTACTCTGCCTTTGCCCTGCCCCAAGGACCATGGACGCCATTTTGTTCAGCTGTAGTGTTCTCCCGGTGGAGGTGGCTTGGAGTGGGCAGCGACTTGTCAGCCCTAGGCCCAGGGAAAGAAAGAGAAAAGCGGCTGGCAGAAAGCCTGTCTCTGCTCCGACTTTCCATGCCCACGAGGGAGTGACATGCAGGCCTGCTGGACTGCTCTGCGGCATCACTTGGATTGGCGGCAGGGACCCAGGGCTGGAGGAGGGAGGACGCGGTCCATGGCCAGCAGCGCCATGTTCTGCTTTCTTCATACAACAGTGATGCTCTGAATCTGCCCTTGAAGACAGGGGGAGTAGGGATGTGGGCCCAGCTTTTTGCTCGGTTCTGAATGATGCCTCATTTGTGGACATCGGAAGCTCCTGGACCCTCACATTAAAGGCTCAGCCGAGTCAGCCCCCAACCTCATCTCCATTCAATTCAAACGTGTATTAAATGTCTACTATGTGCCAGGAACTGTGCTAAGCAGTTGTGATACAAAGACAAAAAGCAGAGACAGTCCTTGTCCTCACAGGGCTTATAATCCAATGGGGGAGGAGGGCCATGGTGGAAGGCAAACACAGCTGCTGATGGAGAATGGAGTTGCCAGGAAGGTCTTGAGTCCTGCAAAGGAAGGCTTGGGGGAAGGGGGGCTTTCGCGCTCCTGCCTCATCTGTCCAGTTCACGACTCTGGGAATAGAGTCTGAGATTGGGAATCACCCCGACCTGGCAAGCAGGGGAAGGCCCAGGGCCACTCTCAAAGAATTTTCTGGCTTATTGCTGTCCACCAAGACAGCCTGGATGCTTCCCTACTTGTAGGACAGCTGCCCACAAAAATGCGTTGTCCCCACCTCTCCACCAAGCAGAGCTCATGGAACATGGCTGCACCATGCCATCCCACAGACCTGGCTGCCTAGTGGGGTGCCATCCCACAGACCTGGCTGCCTAGTGGGGTGCCCTCCCATAGACCTGGCTGCCTAGTGGGGTGCCATCCCATCCCACAGACCTGGCT